CCACCGCAGGCACGGGATAGTTCCAGAGAAAAAAAAAGGAATTACAACATTCCCTATACGACAATTATTTTAATTGTTATTGACTATTATATTATCAGATAGACCGCAGAACAACAAATATATATATATTACTGGCACAATTATTAGGGGAGGTATTAGATGACGGTCTATTACAAAATTACTTAAAGCCCCTTTAGATTGTTTTAAAAAAACATCACGGTATCGCAATAGAGCACATACATGAATGAATGTGGTGTCATTTTCGTGTCTCAGTTAATTGCACCACTTAAATATTTTAATTCATACAATATGAAGACAAATATATTTAAAAAATACGCGTTAGACCCCTAAAAATGTTGATCTTAGTGATATTTGAATAGTAAAGGACAGAATATAACAAGCCAAAAACATCTAGTGGGTTTTCGTTGCTACTTTCCAAAATTGCTACAAAATTGAAACCAACCGATATTCAAAACTTAAAAATTATTTAAATAATGTTTTCAGTTTTTTCTGCATTACCTATAAATATTCTGTAAAGGGTGATAACATATACTTTTTTGGTGTGTTTCCGTATTTTGTTTATCAATTTTAGATATCCTGCCAGTGTCCATCGGTTAGTCTCCAGAGGCGCCTTGTGACTATTTCATAGGGGAGTTCAAAGTCTCACTTTACCGCTATAGTTGGACCTTATAATATACAATAATATAATACACTATAATTAATATTAAACTTAGGAAAAGGTTATTTTCCGAGGAATCCGTTACACGATTAAGAAGTTGTGACCCAGCGAGGCAAGACCCATACATTGTATAGAAAGTGTACAGCGGCCGGGCACTTTATCATATATTTTATGTATGGGATCTACACGGCATTTGGCTAATGTCCCCTCGCCACTCGCCACCGGTCAGCGCACACTGCGGGCTCTCCTATTGTGATGTATACCGGGCACGAGCTAAAAGGGGCATGGGGTGGCATGTGAATGCAAAAAATCAATACCCGCCCCCGCTCTTCACCTTTTTGGGGCGCGCGCGAGATGACCGTTCGACGGCGACGACGACGGTCGGCATATATAATAACAATACTACTTCGGCTACTACTACTACTAATAATAATAATAATGATAATGATAATATATGGAGCACCTATATACGACATCAGCTGTTGAAACGACCCAGTCGTGCCTCCCCTGCGCGGGCCAACAGCCAACACATTTGCGGGGGAGGTGGCAATATATAACATAATAAAAAAAAAATATTTATATATTGTATTGCTTATATAACGACTCGTATTTATTGCTCGCTTATATTATTGTATTATACACAATAAATATCGGGCGCTGTCGCTGCCTTGGGCCGCTTCTGTGCACAGCCCCGTGTATTACCATAGTGTGAAATGACCATTGTATGCGCCGCAATTAGAATCGTAAAGAACCCTCGATGACCGCCGTCGGGTTGGCGCTGACGCAAGAGAGGGTCACGATCCCGGCGATTGTTGTACACACTGTATATAATATTATATACACACTGTGGCCGAAACAAATTTCGTAGTGCCGAAACGCGTTTAAGTGTATTATATTATTATATATCTATTTTTCTAAAGGACACGGAATTGGCCCCGCCGCGCGCGCAAACCCCACGTGGCTCCAAGTTAGCGCGGTTTGTATAATGATGTGAAAAAACGGTTTTTTTTTTTTAAAGAAATTCTACCACAAAACTATTTGAATGCGTTAATACGCATAACATTACATTGTTTTACATGTTGAGATAATATTTCTTGTAAGCAACTATCAAATTTATAATATTTTGTTCGAAACGTTTGTGCGTTCAAAGGCCATTGGGTTACATTAAATTATATTTACATGAACTACAATACATTTGACTACATTAATTAAATATTGAAAAGCGAAAAATTGTGTAAAAAACAGTACGTTTTTATAAATAACTGCTTAATTCGGTTTGGGTTATAAAATTAATAAGCTTGTTGATGATGTTGTTGTTGTTGTTAATGGCTTCGGGTTGAGGGTTTCTGACAGATCCTTTGACAGTTTTATTGTTACAAATTATCTTTTTTTATTTATATATCGTTGTTTGTAGTAGTATTGTTTTTGACGAGTTCCTTTTTAAATGATTTCATCGAGGATGTTTGAGACGGTGTGTTTAAATCAATATAGGCGTATACCTATAGAAATCGGATAATGCAGTATATCAATCCAAACTTATAGAAACACTGCGTTGCGCGCAATAACAGAACACGTACATTGTACATAGACATTTTAGATATTGGAGCTTTTATCCAGTGGCGCTTGTTGCTCCCGGCGGCGGTATGGGTTTGGCCGATTGTTTTTATGTGTTATATAGCGTCGTCGTAAGAGCCCCAAAGTAACCACACTGTATATATATATATAATATTAGTGCAACGCCGCAATATTAGTGCTCGATTTAGGCCTTACGGGGATTTGCCGCGGAGATTTCGGCAAAACCATTTTAGAGTTTTCAAACTGTATACAAAAGTCAAATAGTTCAATAGACAACCGTTGGCCGTTTACCGTTTTTACGGCTCGATTGGATTACCACGTGAAAACCCTCACGACACCGCTTGTACTTCAAATGTATATCTATGTTATAATATTATTATAAAAAAAAAAAAAACCTGAAAATGTTGTAGAATTGTTAATGTACATATTGTTAATTATTGAACATAACCAATAATGCACGTGACTTTTTTTTTTAAAAGTGTCGAATGATTGAGAATGCTATACTAATATCAAGGCGTGCAAGAGGAAGGGAGGGAGGGGGGTAAGTGCCCTAGGTGCGGGAAGTTACGGAGGGGAGGAAAAAAGCCGAATGGTCATTGCCAATTGCAACGATATTTGTCTTATGCGAGCTAGATAAATAAATGGGTGTATATTTTAATGCATTCGTGTTGGATTTAAAAAATGTTATCCACATGCTACCGACATGATTTTTTTCGAACTATTTTATTTACCTATTTTAAATAGTTTAAAAAATGATTTAAGAGGTTCAATACGGAGTCGTTTGTGAAAGTATGAAATAATAAAAAAAAAAAATTCATATTTTCTTGGAAGTGTATAAAATACCTTTTTTTTGGACCTTCTGGATTTTAATAAGACCTATTTTTTATGTTTTGTTTGTGGTCAGCGGCATAGTGGTGACTTAAGGTGTATTATATTTGAATAGGAATAATTGAAGAAATTAATGGGAAAATTAATTCTTCCTACGTATACAACGTGAGTTTGTTGTGTAAGGAGTTTAGATGTGGTTTTTACGATTGCGGCAGAAGCTAAACAAATATGAAAAGTATAAAAAGACAAGTTGCACACAATAAGACATAATATTATAAATTATTTATCACTATACTTAGTATAACAACTGGGTAGTATTAAACTGTAACGATAGATAATGTTATATTCAAATATTTCAACAGAGGGCTCGTTTTAACTGCAGTGCTCCCAGACGTAAAATTATTTAAGCGTTTGCCTAAACAAATATTACATAATAATGTTATAATTTATAGTATTTTGAAAACAGACAATGGCATTTTTGTTGCCAAACGTTTTAATAAAAAGCAGTTTCGCTTAGTAAAATGTCAATATACTGTTTTACACAGCAATTGTATCGTTTGTTTTCGGTATTTGAATAAATTTCAAAAAGAACCATAGTAATTAGTCATGAGTGAAATTGAACAAATAACCAAAGAGAATTGATGGTTAACAATAAGTAACACGTCGGACTTACCTACTTAGTAACACCGACTGACTTAGAAAGATTGTTTTATTTCTCGGTAGATACCTATTGAACAAAAAATAATTATATCTACACGCGGAGATTTTGCACACATTTCACAAGGTGGACTCGATGATAATTGTTTAAACTAGGTATAAAATATTATTAATGGCCTATAAACTCAATATAAAATGGTTTATATAGATTTGTAGAAAAATAAAAATGCGACATTTTATATTTTACTCATTGCCACTGTTTTAACTCGTAGTAAGAAAGATCTCTAGTAAATAAATTGTGTATCGATAATAAAAATTATTAAGTAATATTCTTGTTGTTATTTAAATTTTTATCAGTGATTTGCGATATAAATTTATTCATGTACTTCATCTAAGTCTGACTAACCATTTTGATTTTCAATAATTAATAATTTCAAGATTCAAGAAATTTAATAGTTTACCCTTCTTTTTTTTTATATAAATTAATTAGTTATTATGTTGGATTAACAATGTTTTATTTTAGCAATTAATTAATAGACAAATATTTAATATATTTTGTCTCCAAAAATGTCAATTCATACATATGTTGTGTATTATAACATATGTACAAAACGCTAGAGGGAAGTACACAGTTTCATGTTTTTCCTGCTGTAAAATTCGCAATAACTAATAACGCTGTAAAACGTGTGGGTAGTTATAATTTTGAAAAACAACAGACTTGACGATATTCCGGTGGAAGAGTGTGTGTATGAGGAATAAGGTGAAAAAGTACTCGGCAAAGAGGCAATGGGATTTTGAAAACGAGGCGTGTCCGTCGGGCGAGGAAAAAATATAAAAAGTAAATATGGAAAAAGGCGTAAAAAAAAAATAAGAAGGTAGAACTTGGAACGTGGGGGACAAAAGTGGTTCAAATCGCATACACGGACACACGCATATTATTTGCCTGGACAGAGTTTTAAGGGATGTGCGGGGCCAAGGCAAACCGTCGTGTACAGATGCCAGCGGACGACGGTCGGCGCGCACAAGCCAAGCGCGCACACTCGCGGTGGCCGCGTTCCGATTGGTGCCGCCGCCGTCATGCCCCCTCGGACGGATCTCGTGGCCGGCCCCACCAGATTCTGTTGTACCTGTATGTGTATGTGCGCGAGTCCCCCCTCCTCCGCGGTAAGCGGGCGACAACGCTGGCGGTGGTGGAAGCGGCGGCGGCCACCGCGGACTGAATGAGACACTGCCGCGCGCCGCCTTCATATAGTCATACGCACCGGTTAATCGTACACGGTCGTTCCGCGTGCGGTCATCGTCCGTGTTTGGATTTAATTTTTTTTTACGACTACGAAAACATATTATTCATCAAAACTATTATAATATTACATACGTTATTGGTATTGAAAATTGTTTTATTATTATTATTAAATTTTTTTAATCGGTTCATAACACCGTCGTTGCCGCTGCCGTCGCCCAACGTGTTCGTATACGTGCGTATCAAATTTTTACTGATTGCGTTAGTGCCGACCGCGAAGATAACGACCGTTGAACATTTTAGTACTGTTTTTATTTTATCGCCGTGTTCGCACTTTTTTCTACGCTGGAGGGCTTACCCGTGGTGGCGGGCGGAGAAGGGCTCAGGTTGGCCGCGGCCACCGGCGCCCAGTACCGCCGGGCCGTCGACGACGACCCCAAACTTCACCACAAGTTCCATCCGGCCGGCTACGAGTTCTACCGGAATTTGCACAAGTTCCACAACCTGAATAACAACAACAATCATAGCAGCAAAAACAACAACAACAACGACTCTCCGCCCTCGGACAAGGCTGCGGTGGCCGCTGCGGCCGCGGCTGCCATGCTCCTGCAACAGCACCGGATCGGTGGACTGCTTGGCCGGCGTCCGTCGTCATGCGACGCGTCTGTGGCCGCGGCGGCCGCTGCCGCCGCCGATCTGCAACCGCTCGATCTTAGCTCGTTGTCCGTGCCTAAGTACAACGGCGGCCGCTCGCATCCGTACTTCTCCCCGAGCCCTCACCGAAGTGGCCATCACCAACCAGCCACCAAGTCTGTGTCTTCGTCGTCGTCTCCGCCGCTCCGGCTACAGCCCACTGGTGCCGTCCTTGCGGCAGTTGGCGGTTCGTCGTCCGAAGACGATGAAGACGACGAAGACGACGACAGTTTGGACAGGAGAAGCGGACACGATTCGCCATCGCTTCCTCACAACGTTCCAAACGATTTAGGTGAGTACACGTTAAACTTCGCCGCACAGTTTCTTTAGCCACTTCTGGCTCGTGTCATCTATCTGGTCGAGACTGTCAATTCGCTTGTATAAAAACACCGGGTTGGACAATAATATACTGTAATGATAGTGAATACATGAAGGGGTGAGCGGATAAAGGTATCAAGTGACATTTTTTGTAAAAAAGATTTTAACGAATAAAAGAAAGTTTTGAGATATATTACACGTGAATCACTATTTTCGGAAATTCACAGTTGACGGTGTTATCAAAATATTATTATTACTTTGTAAATAGATAAAGTATTGCCTCCTGAAAGTTTTTCAAATTGTCAGTTAACACCTTTATCCGCTCATCCCTTCGATTAATAGTCGAGTGATTTTCTGATAACAGGATCGGGCATTTGATATTTATAAGCATCCAACTGTCTGCGAAGGCATGCCTTTGTCCCGCGTGTTGGTCATCCTATCGCTCGTGGGATAGGATACAGGTGCCTACCGTGAGAGAACCGAATGCAAATTGCAGTGAGCTAACAACGGGCCCTCCGGTAATTAGCGTAATGACCGTGTGCAATTAGTCACCACCGCACTGCTGCGGTGTGTCTCAATTAGTCCTCGACCCGCAGGTAGGATGGTTTTCTCATGGTGTACTATTAGGATCTAATTGTGTTTCCGGTGATCGATTAAAATGTCAAGAAAATCGTTTTATTTCTAAAAACTAAAACTTATGTCAATAATGTCTGGAGTAATTAATCGCCTTGAAATGCCTTGGAAATTATAAAACAATAATGTCTGTGCAAGGACGTTGTCGGTTGGATATTATTATCATTATCATATTTTACGGTCTGACTGAATATTATTATGATCATGTGTTTTTGTACTGGACGGTTTTTTATTACGATTCTCAAAAACTTATCGCCCAAACACCTTTCAATGCCGACGATATTGTTGTTTAGTTTCAAATGCTAGTACTGTCTTTTTTATTTAGACACACATGTATGTATACATATAAATTATTTATATTTTTTTAAACAAAATTCGACTTCCATATTATTATTAGATTGTTTATCGAAGGACGGGAATTTTCAATAAAATATAATGATAATATAAATAAATAATAATAACTGCTATAATATTGTAACCGTTGCGTCGGGTACACCACTGTGTCTTTTGTGATATTATAAACTAATAAAAATATGGAGGAAAAAAAATATGCGGTTAGGATTTCTATTTTTAATGGCAACCGCGGGTTTTAAATGTCGTTAATGTCAAACGACGCGGTTATAGTAAGATAAGAAATTAGAATATTCAAAAACCACACGTGCGCTGGGAAATTCATGGGTTGGTACAATATAATTTATGAACAGACAAATGTCATGAAAGCGCCCGCACCGAGTTAGCGTTTGGCATAATATAGTGTACAGAACAATAATATTGTACAACTAAACGCAATTCTTAACCTACTACTATTCTTAGCGAACTCGCCAACATGATTTAAACGATTTGTATTCGACCCGGCTTTAGACAGTCGTTGATCATTTTTTATAAACGAATTTATAACAGTCAAAATCGACTTGTCTTTCGAAGGACTCGGGTAATCCCATCACAGCTATTGGTTCAGACAATACTTTCAGCATTGTTAGCACTGTATATCGGTTAGGTTTATTGTGAAAATCTCATAATTAGTTACACGAAAAGCGCTACATAATTAACCATGTAATTGTCGACTTGACTGCTGATGGTTAAAAAATAAAACTACCAATTGCGATTATAAACAATTACCGCGAGGATGTCAGTGGATTTAACATAATATTTAAATTGTTTTTTTTATCTAGGATCAAGATGAGCGCGTACGATTGTGGGCAATAATTATTTTTTTTTTTTTAGGTTATTTTCGACATTTAATTTTTAATTAACCAACTGTATGCACGTCGGTTGTGTGTGTATAAAATGCATGTAATGCGTCGCATGGCCTTATCGAAGATACGTTGATGTATACCTAATTATTATTGCAATTACCCGTACGAACAATGAGAGTTAAGACATTATTTCCATAGTATTTTAGTTGTTTATTATAGTTCACAATAAAATAATTATGTATAGTTAATAACTCGAGTGCAGCTAAATTCAGGTAAAACCTTTTTTCGCTAGTTTGCATTCGCTGTGTTAATTATTTGAATACCTAGTCTATTTATTAATTAAATATTAAACTAATATATTACATTTAATTTAGTCTGTATACGAAATTACGTTATTGTTTTAATCCTCAAAATTAGCACGTGAATATTTTTATGAAATCAAATCGCGGTTAATTAAATTATAATGAATAAAATAACAATTTTTTTTATGTGCGAAACGTGATTCAATGGAATATTGAAATATTATTTAAATTTTTGTTCTATTTGTGGAAATGTAAATGCGGCAGAAAGAATTTGCCATTAACGCGATCGTACCGCAATTACTATACCTACACGGGGTACCTTACCTAATTATTTTAAAATTAAAATATTATTATAATTTTTCGAGTTATGCTAAGCTCCGCTCGGCTCACTTATTCCACACTGTTTTATGGCTGACATGCGCTTGTGCGCGAGTTAATTGAAAATTCACAATTAAACGTGCGTGCAGTCCATTATTATCGTTAGGTATCATTATAATGATACACATTTGTTTCGTAATTTCTTTTTTATTTTATTTTAATTTCTACTATTATTATCCAGTTTGTACGCGTTGTTTATTTTTCGTGAAAACCTGTGTACATTTTTGAGGGCCTTCGTCTATTTTTAATTTATTTTAATATTAATTCAATGCGGTTTGGCTGGACCGTCGCGTGAGTTGTCTCGGTCTAGATTTTGATGGAGTTACATTTATTTTTTGTTTTTTTCATTACGTTTCTTTTCTACACGGCGTGTAAACGTTTACCGTGGCCGACGTTGTTGTTTTTTTTTTTTTTTTAGTCACGGTATTTAAACAGTTTTTTTTTTTTTAAAGCGTGCCATTAAATACAAAATAAAGGGTTCTCGCGAAGAAGAAAAAAGAGGTAACCCGTTAAGGTGGTGGTTACACCCGGAAGGGACGACCGGGATGCCTCGTGTGTATTTATGCGGCAAGTATACCACACACAACAACACCCGCCCGCCATTACCACCCCGTGGGTCCTCTGTCGACATTGTGCTAGTAGTGGAGTACAGTAAACGGGTTGGGCACGAGGGCTACTCTGTGTTAAAAGGGGCACACTTCCGCGTGACTATATACAGCCGACCCCGACATCACTATTACACGGACTGGGGGGGTGTTTTTTTTTTTTGGTGCCTGACGGGGTGAGCGCGAGCCAGGGCTAAGCGCGTTTTTATTTACAATTAACCGGCGGCGACTTCTCTCTTTCACCCGTCCGCTGCTGCTGCCGTGTGTGTCCCGTGCCCGGTCGACGGCAGATGGTATCTTCAACAGCAGCAGTCAATAGACGTGGAAATAAAAATAATATACCGTAAGCGTGGTGTACCTATAGTGACAATTATAAAAGCCAGCGCATGACGTGTGGCGGCGGAGGCTCGGTACCGTATAATGTGTTTTAACGACGGGGAAACAACCCCTAATTGGTAAAAAAAAAAATGGTCAGCAATTTCTCATGACTATGGCCGTCAATGAGTAGAGTTTATGGTGTACACGAGGTGAAAAACTGGCAATATTCTGCCAGTCCGTACATCAGCCGTTCGTACTAAACAGCCATCCGAGACTGGTTACACGAATAATTGTGTTTTATCGTGCAAAACTCGCCACTAAGCTGGATTAAACGCTTATGTAGAGACTAAATTATATTACAAAAGGATAAAATTGCAATTTGGTTTGCATTAGAATAAATGAGAATACCTACATAACTTAATTGATTAATACATTGATTTCTATGAATCAAAATCATTCGACTACAATTTGTAATTTGCAATTATAATAACATTTGTTTCCAATTTTACGCTATCTCTCTGGCAACTGTTTCTGTACACACGTCGTCTCCGGTCGGTTGTAACCAACGTCTTGGACGTGCTATGATAATTAGCCGGCCGACTTTAATGCGTTTAATTAACATTTTTACTATAGACGGTGTACCTGTACGGGTACAAATTAAATTTTACCAGGTAGATATTGCTATTATGATAAGTGTTTAGTGCGGACCAAGAGCCTTGGCGCCACTTTTAATGTGGTAATCTGTGCGATGCGCATTGTTGATTATAGTAGTGAAATTAAATAAAAAAAACCGATGTTTTTTATTGCTCGGAAAAGATTTAAATGCGTGTACGCACACATACACTCGCACTCGTTTACGGTTTTGCATTCTTTATCATTCTCGACCGTGTGTATGTGTATATATAATCAGTGAAAAACAAAAGACACGGCGCAGGCAGCAGATAACCTCCACGAGAGGCGCCGTTTGAGTTTGACGTTTAAGTAGTTATTATTTATTATGCAAATAACACGTAAGATAGTGCACATCACCTGACCTAGTGCTACCGAGTACAGGACGTTGATTACTTATCCCTGCCTCCTTATTACAACTACTACTATATTATTATTGCTAATGATTTTTAGGCGCGTTATCGACACCGGCGATCTTCAAGGCTTTTCCGTTTTGTTGCATAACGAGACTAGAATCTGGCAAATCGCACAAAAAAAATAATATAATATAATATATGCGTGTACTAGTAAACATTTTTGAATCGCTCGAGTTTCCGGAATTAACCGGCGACGGTTCGCACGTGAATTAACACTGTATATAGGTATATATAATATAAAATATGATTCCGCACCGTTACCATCATCATCATTATCATCATCATCAACTGTTACCGTGTATATTCGTATTATAATAATATGTAGAAATAAAGACTTATAGCGCACGGTAATTATAACACTAAGTGTACAACGCGCTTACGGATTATATTGTAATTATTATATGTATATAAATATAACATAGGTACACCTGGCGGCCGTCCTTGGTGCGGATGAGGCGGTGGGGGGAGGGGTACTTCTGTTCTACACGGATTTATGAATAACGATTGTAATTTTATCTTATATATATATATATATATATATGTATGTATAAAACATAATATATCTAATGACTTGCGCGCGCGTTTATTATCGTGTGTATTATTCATCATCATCCTGTACGACTCCAAAGGAGAAAAAACCTTAAGTAGTGTAATACCGCGTTGTGGTGCGTACGAGACACGCATTAGGACGAGCGCGAGGATTCCTTAGAAGAATTACCATATAATATTAGGTACCTACGTTGCGGTGTGTATCCCGGTTTTATGTTAATACCGGCCAACACCAAATTGGTTTTTAATTGAGCCCCTCTCTTCTGTCTCGTAAGCATAAGTACGTCGTTCATGTACATAAAGTGCAATTATAAGTGCATTATCTCACGCTCCCCGGTGAACCCACATCGGGCCCGTCGCCGAGTGCCAATAAAAACCTTTAAAATCGGTGGCGCCTCTCCGAAGATCTCCGGAAAAGATTATGTACATATAAACGCTAGCATGTATGATATGATATATATATATATATGTATATAAAATATTTGACGATCGCGCGGTGACATCCCCGTGTGTACTGACCTCGGGGTGGTTTTTTTTCTTTCAATGTCATTAAATATTTTTTATATCATACTACCACCTGTTGCGTTTGTATTGACTGCGGTCGCGCTGTCGTCGAGATTGGCCTTAACGCGGCCGAAAGGGGGAGAGAAAATGTAAATTTAACGCTACAAAAAGACGTGGTAACACCTCGGCCGAGCATAGTTGGCCAACAGAAAAACTCAGCTACACTGTTTACTTGGATTATTGCCAACTCTGCGGCCGAGTGACCGGAGTTTCGGTATGGAGTCCGCTGAGTCGTCGCCATTATAGCGTTCACACGGCGTCCGTCCGTGTCCCCGGGGCGTTAAAGTCACTTTTCCGAAAAACCACTTGCGCCACAAATTGGATTGGGAAAATGTATATATATATATATATATGTATACTCTGGTATAAACTTAATGGGGGAACAGAGGCAGACTCCGCGGCCTAGGAGACATAGAGCCGGAGAGGAGACACAATATATACATACATGAGCGTAATGGTAATATTATGTGTGAATACTTTGTTACGAGAGGTGCCGGTTTTGATATTTTGAAAAGCCCAGAAGCTAAAACGTATTATTTCACCGTGTACTCTACGGTAATGACTCGGCACAATCCGCGACGTCAGCGGCGGCGGCGGTAGCTTAGAATTAGCTTCTCAGTCTTCTTCTCATTCTCCTTTCACATACACACACACACACACACACATATGTAAGGCCACCGTAGTTATCAATAATAATAATAATAATAATAATAATGAATACAACCGCGCGACTGGTTGTCGTCGCTGGTTGCAGAGAGCAGCAGCGGGTATATACGAGTTAGAGAAAAAGATGCATTAAGAATATATTATTATGATTATTATTATATTTGTCATCGATTGTGCCGGCGACTCGTGCAAGAATGCCGTCGATATCATACACATTATAATCCGTTTCGGGTAATTATTATTCTTTTGTTAGTAAAAACGCCCGAGTTCTTTATCGCCACGGATCGACGACCAATGGCCGGCGTGCGTGCGGTTTTTCATTTCGATTCCATTATTATTATTATTATTATCATCATCATTATTACTATTACTATTATATTTAGATTTCGATTCGTATTCAGATTGATGTCGCGCGACACAAAAGACATATATACGACGAGACGTGCCCGGCGAGTCTCCGGATTGCAGACCATATAATATTATTATTACTATTATTATTTAACGCTCAAATCTTTATAATATATTACATATTATTATTATATCCGTGTGTGCCGGCAGTCGAATGGTGAAAACGCCCAGTATTAATAGCGGCAAATCCACCTGCTCGTAGGGCTGAGACAAGTCGTCAATCACCGCCAGCCGCCGACCCGTTACCCAGTGCGGTTATCCCGGCGTTAAGTGTACCAGAGAGAAACGCTTTGTACGATCGTTTCGGGTAAAAAAAAATTACCAAACAAAGTCATTGGCGGCTCGTGTAGTATGTAAAAATATAATTGCCAATGTGTATTAGTATTCGTCGATTTTAATTGCCTCTTCAAGAAACAAGCAACTACCGCGTAATTCTTTTTGTATGCCGTCTTTGCGCGGTGTGAACAAGTGACCCGCGGCGGCGATGGCGTTTCAATTTGTCCAATTACCGGTGCGGTGAACATAAGGGATTAATCACACCGCGGCTGCCGCACCGGCCTCGTGTCTCTCTCTATTCGATATATTATACGCGTTGGCCGCGGTCATTTGTCAAAATAAGTAAAAAAAATCATATCTACATAATATACACTATGGAAAACCACACGTAGATAGGTTTACCGTACACTCATGCGAGGCAACATCGTCGGGATACAGCCCTCGAGGCGACGACCGGCACCTATAGGAATGTTTACGATGCCGACATGTAAATCGGTCCGCGGACGAGAAGATGTCTTCATTACACAAACATAGGACGGCGGCAATAACATACACAGTATAGATTATGCATGCCTGTATGCATATTATTATTATTTATACACAGAGTATAGAAGGAATCGATTGCGTTGTGTGTGTTATATCATGTAGGTGTCCGATGACAGCCGCTTTCAATCATATCTCATAAAACTGGTCTCTACTGGAAGATATCGGTGTATTATATATAGACTATCTTTTAGAGTTTCTGTCTCTCTCTCTCTCTACAGCGCGCCATTTCTGTGCAGCTAAAAAAAATAGCAAACATGTTACCGAATTGTATGTAAAGTATACACTTAAAGAAAAACAAATAACTCGCATACCTACCTACCACCTTCGGATCCGGACCGCATGCACGCTGAATAATTTTTTTACCGTGTTCCTTGAACCTGTGGTGACGCGACAAAAGGGGTAACCCGCGGGGACGCGCGGCGGAAAGCGAATTCGGATGTGTGCGTTTGACACACATAACGACCGCAAATAGAGACAATATGACCGCGGCCGCACTCGGCGGGATACCATACCTCTTGGAAATTTGTATTGTAGAAACAATAAAAGCGAGAAGCCTGTGTGAGTATGTGTGTGTATAAAGGAGAAACCGAGTCAAGGTCTCAGCCGATGGAATGCCTCGCGAAATTTCGGCTGTGCTCGTCCGGTAGCAGCTCTATGATATGACAATTATTATACATGATAAAAAAAAATATACATATATTATGTATAAAACTCACAATGGGCGCCAAAGAACGACAAGACCGAGAACGGCGGCGTTAGGAATTCATTAGCGGCCGATGCAAATAGAAGGGACGGTCTGTGTAACGCGACGGTCGAGGATATAAAATGGAACAAAAAAATCCTCAGTGTCCAGTTATAATTGTAAGTAAAAAAAAAAATTTTGAAAAAAACCCGACCGAGTCTTTTACCGCCGGTATACAATATACATAAATAATAATATTGTATAATATGAAAACGCGCTACCGTAATTATAATAGACGAAAATCGTATTTTAATTATAATAGTTGATAATAATAATAATAATAGCAGCGGCAACCGCGGTAGCTACACAGGTCTCTCTATCTCTCTGTCTCGCTCCCCGGAAGAAGAATGAAAAAAGTGTTTAGAAGAAGGCCATTAGTTATTCATGGCTGACACACACACAGACACACATCATATACACGGCGGCGACGGGGCTGAATCATGCGTTTTATTAAAAGAACCCGAATACAAGACGGAGCGGGCGCGGTGGAATATAAAAAAATGAAAATAAAAATCTTATTGCTTAACGACGAAATGTTACATTATTCGGTGAGCCTGCCGTAGTAGTGTATAGTAGCTGTGTAGTCTATGCGTATGCGTTCAAGACCCATTCTGTTTCTCATTAAAATATCATTAGACCCCGTGTATGCGCCTTTCGATTCTCCCCACCCCCTCTTCCGCCCCTCGTTATCCCGAACTTTACTCGGAAGCCGCTAATGACACTCACACGATTTTCTCCATACACGCACATATACACACGTGTAAGATTATTATTAATTCACCTTACACCATCCCACCCCCCCATCTCCTCCGCAAATCCATCTATCATTCTCATTCATAAATTATAACATACCTATAATATAATATTATAATGTATTATACAAATATGTGTATACGGTACCCCTTAATGCTATACCTATAGGAGCGCGTAAAAGTTCATCAAACGCCTTTCGGGCAGAGCGCGCCGGAATAATTAAAAACAAAAAATTAAAAAATGTTTCTATACAAAATTGTGTGTCGAATAATACACATTAAAACGACGAGGCTCGATGGTAAAAAAATATCCTACACCGTTTGACCGAGCGGATCTACACCGTACTTTCTTGTGTGCGCGCATAATGATTTCCTATTTCATGAATGGAATGTTATTCACTATGACGTCAACCCGATGTTTGATTCATCGCGGCCCCACATATTATTTTTCATTATTATCATACAATATTGTCGGCGTGAATACCGAATTACAGATGACTCCTCGTTACGAGTACCGAATGAGCTATAAAAAATGTATGCGAAATATGCATAATATGTATATGTACTATACAACCGTGTTTCAGAAACTATTGTTATGTAAGATTTATGTTTGCCACTGTCTTTTTGGGTGGGGGTATATTTAAAAATTATATCACGCTATTTCTATTTTACTAATGGCAGTTTTGTTTCTTTTTCCAGAAGCTTCTTCGGACCGACTGATGCAACATCACAAATACTACAACCGAGGAGACGGTGAGTTTTTCGTCCTATGCTTACACAGACACCGTGAACCTATATAGGGAATGGTGTTTTACCATAATTGTGTTATTCGTCTACACGTATATATTACAATGGTTTTTTTTTCGCCAACAAACATAATTATGTTCTTGGCGAGCAACGGCGGCGACCTTGGCATTTTTATTGCGCTGTACGTCGACGGTGTTATATGTATATAGGTGTATATTATTACGCTATAGTAGTTTTACGGCTATTAGGCCTCCGAAACTGCAGCACTTGGGTTTAAAAAAATAAAAGAGCCCTTGGGTGCAGAAAACCGGCGCCAACCACCTCCGCCCTCTCAATCCACCCCTCTCCTCTCCCCGTTACCGCCTACTTAACAACGGGCAGCTACCATACTACTACCTGTAAAACATTGGCCCAGGTTAGTTAGTCGGGTACGTTATTTTTCTTTTTATATATAAATTATATAAAATGTATAAAGCCGCGAGGACCGATGATCGCATAGGAAACGGTTTTTACTTAATACAAGTAAAAAATAAAACGAACAGGCTTAACTCGTGGGAAACCGGTGGCGGTGCTATTAATGAGAGTCTGTTGGAGGATAAAGTGTATAACAACCATACCATGGAAGTAGTATATAGCGAATGCGGAGTGAAGTGGATGTTCTTACAACAAGTGTATTGTTTTGCTGGCGCTGGTGTTTGCAGTCGTGCCGGACGCCCGCTTTTGTGTATTGGCAGGATAAAAATAAAAATTGATAACATACTCGAGCATTGTTATCATCATTTAGAAAGAGGGAAAAAAAATAGAAGAATTACAGGCTCATTATTGTTTTTTTACCAACTACCTCTACTATATACTTCAAGCGGTCGAGCGCCGGTGCGTGATGTCACTTTCACTGCTGCAGCCGTACAAACGCAGCGGGATCAGGATAATATTATATCAATAAAAGGGGTCCACTATATGTATATATATATATATGTGCCGTCCAATGGGTTTTATTTTTTTTTAATTTTACTATGACCTCCCAAATCGTACACACATAATAGTATAATATATTTTGTTTGGAACTAATTAGATTATCGTGACGGTCAAAGACAAATAACGTTATTAAAACCGAAACGACAGCGCACGAGTTCTGGAATGATTACCGGCGTCGGGTCCACCTGGTCGATTCGGTATGTCACGAACGGGGTTACTCTCTGTATATATATATATATATATATATACATGTATAATATTATATTAAATACGTTTATTATTTTAAATATATACCTACTCGTCCGCTCGACTTGTGTGTATTAACGAAACGGACCACGTCCGTCTTGTTGTGTCGTCGCAAGTAGTATTACACGCGGCGGTTGGGGTCAGCTGAAAAAACTCAAACAAAAAAAAAAAATCTAAGAAATTCCGTCCGCCGTATCGATGCTTGAAATCTTTTTATTTAAAGTGTAACAAGACGTACTATAACTACGACACGGTTTTAATCCAATTTCGGTATTCGCCGACAGACGAACGACCTATAAAATTTGTATTATAATTATTATAATATTGTAACTTAATAATAATAATAATAATTATGTATACCAGAGTATACTCGTTAATCATGATACGCAATTCGCAGAAGCGTGAATCTAATTTAAATTTAAATTAGTCCTTTTCACTTGTATATATATATATATATATATATATATATATATATTATATCAACGGATTTGTATTATTATTATTGTTATTAAGACCTTACACGATATTTTAAAATGATTTTAAATATATATATACATACAAATTAACATAATAATATAATGTACTTGTTGTGTAAGTGCAGCGCGCGATGCACTTCGATGTGGTATTTCGGCGGTGTAATTGTTTTTATAATTATTCATTTTTTCTGTTGTGCCGAATTCGGGGGAAATATTAACACTGTTACCCATCGGTTATGCAGATTTTGTACGCGGCGCGCTGGTGTGCAAAGAGCCGAACATGATATATAATTATTATTATATGAGTGTTTCACTCATAGCCGTTATGATAGGTGTAGGTATTACTTTTTTATACGGTGGAAAATTGAAAAAAAAAAAAGAATCGAGTAGCGGATAAAACGTCGGTTTGGAACAAAATACACGTGGCCGACACGGCGAGCATTGAAAATTATAATGTATAATAATATACGAGTAAACTGAAATATTTATATTCGTATTAATGATAATTATTAACAGGTGCTCGTGGTGTACATAAAAAACAGCGTTGGGTTACTGGACCGCAACGACGGAACTCGCGCTCACGGAAAAACCGTTCTAACTTGTAAAAATTCTTCTATAATATTCTCTTTCATATATACACACACACACACACACAGAAGGTTTTTTTTACCTTCCCCCCCCATCCTCCTCTTGTTCACCACTGTGGACCAATATAATTCCCATTCATGTATGCGCATTTTGTTGACAATTTCCTAGACGTTCTTGCACAGTCCGGTCACGTTTTTTACACACAACTGCATCAAAAACCCCTCGGCCAGTCTGTGTCGGGTCTTCTGTATGTAGCGTGTAGCACAGCTCCTACACGCCGTGGCCGGAGAGACGTAGGACGATCATTTTTATATATGTGTGTTTATATAAATTTATATATTATATTGAATACCAGTGGACAATTCGTACTGTAAACGTCGCGTATACGATAATAATATGTTGCTACTGGTACATACCATACCTTTTCGAAAATAACTCTTTGTATTATGTAGGTAATCATAATAATATTATGTGATGCACGTGCTTCTGCCCGGACCTCTTATCATCCCGCAGCGCGTTCAGAAGCTGAACATATTTATCTGTGACAATTTTCAAACATAAACGCATTGTTTATGTGGCTTAGAATTAGCACCTTGGCCACTTTTCCTAAGCTGTTTGTGTGTATTATAATAATGCCGAAACCGTGTACTCGCGCGTACACCATTGCATAGATTAAAATTAACTTAATAAAATGTGTCTACTTACATAGTATAACTACCGTTACTTTTTAATTTATTTCGCCGCTTAAAATGTACCTATACACGCGACGGTTCCCAAGTAATCTTCTGTTGCTAACAAGACAATACATGTCAATAACAACTATTGCCTATTATTCCGTACAGCTCTGTACGGTGTAAATTCACGTGTAGATCTCGTGTATGTATACATATTTCGGTTTGATGAAATCATTAAGCACCGGTCTGTGTTCGCGTGTTTCGTTAAGTCAACGTTTAAAATATTAGCGCCCACCTCGCCGCAGCGGCGGTTACCTCGATTAATATTTTATATTATTATTAATATATACCTATAATAATTTTTTTGACGATTTATATTTTACTGCCGCCGCCGTTGCCCTTTTGCGCAATCCCAAGAATTAAGGACGGTGAATTTCTCAAGCGCCGCCTCGGTACAACGAGTACCGCGACGGCAATCAATCGGTTTTTTTGAACTTGTATACAACATCATGTACCCGTACCGTTGGCAGCTTTCACCTGAGATATAGGAGCGACGCGACGCGCCGCTTGTATCAATCATAACGCACACTCCGACCGAGGCCCTGTAATCATAATAGTATATAACTAGAGTATAAATAAATAGCAGCGGTTGCAATTTCTATATTAGCTCCCGGACTAAACGGGCCCAAATAATAATAATATATCGGTTCGATTTCCTTTTTTGGCCGCACGTGACCTCAACCGCCGCCGCGCCGTTGCCCCCCCCCCCTTTCGTCCCGGCGGTTGTTTTTCTTTTGGCCGAATATTCATCAAAGTCCTTTTTTTCTTGAACACAATCTCTTCAAATCCATCACGGTCTCCAACTTTTCATTGCGCTCACCGCGTTATTTATTTATTTAGAGACTCTTCGGTTTGTGAGAAACGCCGCACACCGCGGTAGCCACAGTAGTCCGTCCGCTGAGCGACGGTACAAAAACAAATCTAAATTTTTTTTAAGGGGGGGGAGGGTTTTGCAAAACTGCCGACACGCGGTGCCAAGGTGTTATTGAAAACGTCATGTACACGCCATGTACTTAAATGTGAGTGGCGGCCCAGCCTATCCTGTTTCTATTTATGTACGAATTTAGGCAATTGCCGAATCACGGTGCTCGATGTCGAAGCGGTCACCTTGATGGGAAAATATAATAGTATAATATTAACTTACGATTCGTTAAATATATTTTTTTTTTATATTATAATAACTATTAAGCATTGACCGACTTTTATCGGGCGGATTAATTTTTAAATAATAATTCCTATACGCCATAGAATATACTATACCTACATAACATTATTGGACGTTAGAAAAATTATTATAACGTGTACACCATTTGTGCAATAACCGCGGCTAGGCTTCATTCATGTGTATATACGTATTATTATGGATCATTAAAACGTTTTGAATATAATATTTAAAACTAAATTAACATCTTCAAAAAAAAAAAAACGTGTTTATCGACGCGAAAAGCTTAATAGGTTTTTTTTTCATACATAACTTCTCTGTACAAATAATTCTGTTTCTGCAGCTCTGATTTCCTCCTGTGTGTACTATATGCTATGTTCAAATGTCGCGGCTCATTAAGCGCACGAGAGCCGATTTCTTAATCGGTCGGTAGTTGCAACACAAAAATATCTCATACTGGCTGGCGCAGTTGTAATGCGTTTTAAATAATGACAATAAAGTAAAAGTACTTACGAGTATACATTATAGTTTTATTATTTTTCACAAATGTATTATATTTACTTATTTAAGAAAATCCGTTGAGATCGTTAATAGGTAAAGATGTACCTATTTATAATGGTGTTGACCCTTTAACGGGGGGTTTTTTTTTTTTGTTTTAACTACCACCGATGTCGTTTCCTGCGCGCCATATCGTATTCCCTTTGGCGGTGGCGGCTTCAACCTTCGACATAATAATAATTTTTATATAGATATTATTATACCCTACAGGGTAGTAATCCTATTAATTTTTTTCTTCCTTTTTTTTTTTTAATTGAATTTTTAAAT